TCTTTTTCCATTTAAAATATAAAGTTTTGAAATCTGTTCTTATCAAAGTAATTCTGGTAGATTGAAGAGCACAGATGGTCTCCATGATGAAGTATTACAATGAAATTCCATATATAGTTAAGTATATTTAAAAACATTTTATATGTTTGTATGATATATCCCATATATAATTTAGATGACTTTTTATGCAAGTTAAATATTATTTTTTTAGGAATATAGTCCATGATATTAAAAACTTGATCAATATCTCCAACTATTCATGGAATAAAAATCACTGGACCTTCAGAGCCATTCCCATTCACAGAATGTCTTTGAATAGACAGTATTAGCATTTACTCTAAAATCAAAAGCTTCAGAGGAAAGAAATAAGTCTAGGCACTAGTTCCTTTTACTTATCCCAGTTCTTCTCCCCCAGTTCTTCTCCACATTCTTTCTAGAAAGCAAGATACAAACAGTAAGGGGGGAAAAAAAGAGAAGAATAAAGCAATGGAAAGAAACATAAAAATATTTTTTCTATTTAAACCTGTTTCAGCTGTCCTAAAGAATTTAAGTATTTAATTATTAAATCTTTTCTTTTCAAATTCCCACCCAAGGATACTTTTTTCATTGATCTTTAGAGAGATTGTAGAAGAGAGGGAGAAGGAAAGAGAGAGAGAGAAGTACATCAATGTGAGAGAGACACATTGATTGGTTGGCTCCTGAAGGCACCCTTGCTGATCAAACCTGCAACTGAGGTATTTACCCTTCCTGGGAATTGAAGCCTCAATCCTTCCATTCTTGGACATACACTCCAACACACTGATCTGTGGACACCTTCACACTCCAAGTGCTAAACCCATGCCACCCCCCACTTTGAGGCCAACTCCTTGTGTGCACTCCCCAATGTAATCGTGAGAGAGCTCTTTGGTAAACAGATAATATGCTCAGAAAATCAGGCTAAGGGCTATGAGCAAGGGCAAAACCACAAACTTGATGGCAGCGTCACATACTGGAAAATCAAGTTTCCAGCAGCCAACTTGGCGAGTTATATAAGAACCAGAGAAGATACACAAGCTTAACTACGAATTCAGACACAGAAGTAACAAAAAATCTGAAGCAGGTATATTAACAAGGTTGCAGAAAATTCCAGATGTAAGCAGGGCCAACAAAAAATATCTCCAACTCAGTGATAATTAGAGAAACATTGAGATGTCTGATACTTTAAAATGCAAAAGCAACAATAAAAAATTTCAAGAAACTGAAGAACCAAAGAAAAGTCATCATCAAAAGATAACAATCTACAATAATCAAACTAAAAAATATGGATATTGGTGATTTACCTGATAAAAATGTCAGAGTAACTGTTTCAAGGAATCTAATACTACAAGAAAGCATAGAAAGACACATCAATAAAATCAGGAAATTATACATAAATAAAATGAACAATTTAACATATATAAATCATCAAAATGAAACAAATGGAACTTTTGGAGTGGCATAATTCAATGAACAAGATGAAAAGCACAATAGAAAGTATCTGCAATAGAATAGACCAAATATTTTAAATAAGGTGTCTTTAAACAAAAAATACATAAAATAAGGTTATGTATTGATCAGTTGATAAAAATGTTATAACCGGAGGTTATAAGAACTTAACTCTGTATTCTCCTAGCAATGTAATAACCTTGTATTCCTTTAGGAACAATGATTTAGTCTTTGTTCATTCAGTGTCTTTGGTAACTTTGTAGAAACTAACTACCTAGAGTAATGAAAATCAACAGTATTTATATAAAAACATGAATGCAATGCTTCTGTGGGGAAGTATTGCCAATTAAGATTAGTAAGGACAAATGTTTGCTTTGGGGAGCATAGTTCATAATTTTCATGTTGCCTTGAGTATCTATGGGTCATAAGATATCTGGACAGTTAACTGAGAACAGCTCACCTTTTACATTCACATTCTAATTTCCCTCATGCATCTTTTTGAAATATTGAATTTTCTTGCATTTGTTTTCTTTAACAGTTACATATTTTGCATTTATTTATACATTTTTGTATTTTCCCCATAGCTGTATGAAATCATTTGTGAAAGAGCACATGAACTAAATAAGTTATACCCTCTGGCGGCTACCCAATCTAATCATCCCATGCATAAAATGCCCTTCAGAAAACCAAATTTATTTTTCTGAGGCCTGTTGGCATGTTAAAGGACATAGACCATGCTATTTGCATGGTAGATGTGCCCTGAGAACTGTGAATAATAAAGTATAGGGCAATACATTATAATAAACTACCTGTCATGTGATGATTTAAACTTCCATATTCTATTTAAAATTTCACAAAGCACCAGAGTGCAATGGCCCCTCTAATGAGAATAAGTAGGGTAATATGTGTGTATTTATATTCATCTACTATGTATGTGCTTATAGATATGTATATATTTCTATTGGTTGTACATGGAAATTAATGAAGTAGGATTCTGAAATCTAATATTTTTTAAAACCATTTTGTGTATTCTAACTCTCAACTGTTTATGTGCATCTAGTATAGATTATTTCATTGGAGCCCTTTTTGTCTTGCCAGACTTTCCATATTAGCACAAAATATTTTATCTTTTTTTTTCCTTAGCTATTTCTATTATACTAGTTTCAAATATTCCACACCCTAGCACATATCTGAACAGACTATCTGAGTTGTAAGTTGTGTTTGTAATGTGTAGATACATTTTAGTTCTGATGTTTTAATTCAACCCATGACACAGTGATTTTCTTTTCCAACAAAGATGTTTGAAGAAATACTTTTAAGTTTATTTCATTAGATATCTGGAAACATATTGCTATCATTCAATTTTAAAATTGCATAATATAAAAATCAAATCATAGCTATATAAGAATGATAGAAGTTTTATGAGAGAGAACACTGTCCTTCGGGTCAGAGATTACACTAAAAATATATAAATTTTACTTGGAAGCCTTTTTAGTTAATTACCATTTCCACTAAACCAGTACTCCAATGGTCTTTTAGTGCTACATGTGCTATTTTTTCCCCAATTTATTGGGATAACTTTGGTTAATAGGATCATATAGGCTTCATTTATAGATTTCTATGTTACAAGATCTGTATATTGAACTGTATGCCCTCCACCTAAAGTCAAAACATTGGGCACCATACATTAGGCCTCATCTAACCCCTCCTCCCCCCGTTCCCCACCCCATTCCCTCTGGCAACCACCACTTTGCTGTTTGTATCTATGAGCTTCAGTTTTATATCCATATATGAGTGAAATCCTATAGTTCTTTTTTTTTTCTGATTGGCTTATTTCACTAATCATAATATTCTAAAGGTCCATCCATGTTGTCGCAAATGGCAGTATTTCATCTTTTCTATGGTTCATTGTGTATATGAACCAAGTCTTCTTTATCCAGTCCTCTGTTGCAGGACACTTTGGTTGTCTCTTTGTCTTGGCCACCATGAATAATGCTGTAATGAACATAGGATGCATATATCTTTGTGAACACATGATTTCTAGGTTTTTGTTTATTTGTTTGTTTTGTTTTGTTTTTCCAAGGAGAGGTATTGCTGGGTCAGCAATACCTGGTATTCCAAGGAGAGGGATTGCTGGGTCAGATGGTAACTATCAAGTTAAGGCTACATGCGTTATGTACGTTGTATCTCTCACTTTATTCTCGGGTCTCTTTGACCTGCAGAAAGTCAAAAGTTTACTTTTTTAAAGCTGCCTGCCTGGAGGACTGATTATACCCACTGAATGAAATGGGATGCTAAAATCTACCACTGTTGTATTTTGTACTTTTGGTATATTTTTAAAATCATAATTGTATTTTATTTTTCTAAGTTGAAGGCTACAAATTGTAGGAGTTACTGTGCCAGTGGATATGTTTTGTTTGTTCCATTAAATGTATAATTTATTTATCTAAAATCTGATGCCAACCTTAGAGTGAAGAGGTTATTTATCACATTAAACTATCAGAAGACTTAGCAATAATGACACCTTATTCCATTATGCCAAGAATTTGCTGGGGTCGAGGAGCAAATAACACCTTAGAGTGTTATCCCCAGTTGGTATCATTCCCATCAGGCTGTTGAAGGTGATCCACAAATAAGTTGGAAGATAACAAATGAATAGGGATACTCAGGTAAAGCTTGAAGAATGGAGACTCTGAATGTAGGGACAAATTGTGCAAAGACCTACAGGTAAGACAAAAGAACAGTGATTCTTTGGTGGAGATCAATCTATAATAATAAAAACATAACATGCTAATTAGACTGTACATCCTTCTGGACGAAGCCTGGGCTGTGAGGGCCAAGCCCCTCGCTCGAATTTCGTGCATCAGGCCTCTAGTAAGAAATAAAGCCAAACACCAAATCCTGGTTGTATATGCCTCATTAAGTTTTGTGGTTGTTGTTTTAATCCAAATGAAAATATATGAACAACTCCTGTCACATAACAGCTTCCTACCTGAACAATCTTGTGAGCACAAACCAACGCCCTCCTTTCTTTCTCCTTTACTAGTAGGAGCATCAGTTGTCTTTGACATTCTTGCTGAAACTTGCCACTTGCATGTAATTACCGACCTGAATTTCATTGAGCTCTCTGAAATTTTTTTTTTCTTTCAGTTTAAAATAGAGTAACTCACTTGCACATACAATTTAAATTCTAGCTTTTAGATAACTTGATGCATTAAGGTGTTTTTAAGGACGAAACACAGATGCATTTTCTCCACAGGGACTAAGACGCTAATGGCCATAAATTGGTCCAAATGTGCTTCAGACTGAATGTGTGTCTTCTGTTTCTCTATCCCAATGCGAGGACCATGATGTTGGTAATTGTGGACTTTAAACACTTTTATGTAAGGTTTCCTTTGAGTCCCTTTGGGTCTGTGATTGTGGGCAGCTGTCAACTCCGCTTTGTGTAATAAAGGACCATTTTTTTGTGCTGAAACAGTTCTGGTGTGCTACTGATGAAGGGAGAACTGACAGATTTCCTCTTCTTTTATTTTCAGCTCACCCCAGTTGGCACCACGATATTTACAGGATTTGAAGGAGACAATGGAGCTACAGACATCGATGATGGCCCAAATGGACAGATAGAATATTCGATTCAGTATAATCCCGATGATCCAGTATGTACATACCTGCTTGCAGTGTGACTTGACACTGAGAAATAAAATCAATGCTTACTTCTTGTGGTATTTATTATTTACTCTATTAGCTCCTAGAACTACATTGGTAGCAATAATATAATTAAGTCATACCTCAAAATTGCATTCTTTTGAATGTGGGCTATGCTTTGGAAAGCTCATTTATTTGGTGGTATTTGTAGGGAATCATTTAAAGTGTGTCTAGGTTTAATATGGCATTTTTACTAAATCTCCATGATGTTTGTGGATTCCTAAACATTCTAAAGAAATCATTGGACGTGGTATAACCACTGTGATTCATACGCTTTATGGAACTTACAGAGGAATGCCACTGCTGCCACTTCTCTACCCAGGAAACCTAAGATGGAGAGGAGGACAGAGCCTCTGGATATGGGTGATTTAGGCTACCAATTTATTTCTTCCAATGATATATTTAACACAGATGAAAGCAGAATTGTTTTGCTGAGGCTAAAGCTGGTATTGTGCCTGCCATCTTATCTTCCTCTTTTCCCAAGACAACTTCTCAGAACATCATGGGCTTCCCAAAGCATAGTTTTCTGTTTGTTTGTTTGTTTGTTTGTTTCCCAAAGCGTAGTTTTGTTTTGTTTTAATTGTTTTTATATTTTATTGATTTTTTACAGAGAGGAAGAAAGAGGGATAAATAGTTAGAAACATCGATGAGAGAGAATCTTTGACCAGCTGCCTCCTGCACACCCCCTACTGGGGATGTGCCCACAACCAATGTACATGCCCTTGACAAGAATCGAATCCCCAGACCTTTCAATCTGCAGGCTGATGCTCTATTCTTTGAGTCAAATCATTGTCGGGCCAAAGCATAGTTTTAAATTAATTTCTTAAATGAGATTTCTAAAGGAATGCTTCTTTCCATTAATATTAGGAATATAAAAAGTGGTGAAGATAATATTATATTTTTATTTTTATATCATGCATTTCTAAGGTAAGCTTTAAACAATCAACAGAAATGACTGTGCATGTTCAGACTAAAAATTCACAAAACAAAAGATCTCCATCACAAGTTTATTATGAGAATTAAGTGAATTGTGAATTAATTTTCTCCTTTTAGTCTCAGAAATCAGTTAGTGAATAGTAGTATCTCTCTTGCAAAGGAGAGAGAACAGGCTCCTAGGTGAAGTGATTTACCTGGTATCATGCAGCCACTTCTAAGCTATAGAGTCAGAACTCTGATTTGAGAATAGCTTGTTGTGTTCTAATAAAATAGTTGTGTTAAAATTTTCCCAAACATTGGAGAATGAAAAATGAAAAAAATGAAGAAAAAAAGCCTATGGGCATAGCAGGATCAAGGGAAGACTGGGAGGGCGTGGAGTGGTTTGTTTTTCTCCTATAAAGTTTGTCTCCATGTGAAACCAGGAGATGGGGAAGTAATGAGAAAGTGACAGAGAAGGAGAATAAGGATGAAAGGTTACACGAGAAATGGAGTGGAAAAGATCAAAGAAATAGAGGAGAAAAGGGCAAGAGAAACAGATTTTCCTTAAAAGTTACAAACAGGCAGCTGAGTGCACATTTTATTTCTAAACCATTTTCTGTTTAGGTTTTTAAAAGAATTAATTATATGTGTGTGCCATGTTTCTAGCTCACAGTTTATGAAGGCCATTTCCTAATCTTTACTCCTAAAGTTGTATAAATGAAACATCCCAGCCAAGTATAGAATGGCCAAACCATGTATTTTAGGGCAACATTTATTACATTGCTTTAGAAAAAAAAATACCCAAGGTTTAGCTATAGTGTGAGAAGCTATCTTTTTGAAGTTTTGTGAGGCTGGAATTCCTTGTTGGCTGTGCAGTAATTCCTTCAGAATGCTTTTCCCTCTCAGGGATATGTAGGCGTGGCATAAAATACAATATATACATTTTACTGCCTACAGATTGGACAAGCCAATCACCACATGCAGTTTCAAAATTACAATAAAAAAAAAAGAAAGAAAAATGTCCTTCAGCAAGCTAGTAGTCCAGTGGAATAAATAAAGACATTCTCTGGGCATGGTTCTAATTCAATGAGGCAGAATAAGACATCATGCCAGCATTTAACTTAGGATCTATTGAAGGAGAAAACATTAACCCAGTTATGCCCTTACATAGAGAACCCACCTTTACATCATAGAAGCGTGGTGTAAACCTCAGTACCAGTTTTTTCTCTTGTAAGATCTATGAGAGAGAAATACCTTATGGTATTAATATTCTGCCACTCTTCTATTTTTAGTAATTCTCCTTACATTAACAATGGCATAATATTCATCTACTAACTTCTTAATTTTAAAAAATTGTATGAACCAGAAAAATATTTAACCTAAATGTGGCTACCTCTGGCTTTTGCAACCACAATTGTGATTTCTTTTAGATTAATCTTACACTGTAGGATGAACCTTAAAAAGTGTAGATTGCTCTATTCTAGCTAAAAATCTTAGAGTTTTATTTTTTGTTGTTGTTTTAATATGATACTACATTAATCATTAACAGAAATCACAAATTAGTGACCTGGATTTCAACATTTTGTTTGGCCAGAAATCATTTTCAATAACTTTTGAGCCAATCATGAAATTTCACATTCAAAACTTGGTTTCTCTTCTCTCTTAAGCAATAGAAATATGACAATGCTGGTCCTGATTTCCAATAAGACAACAATCAACTAGAGTTGCTATTCTGTGTTCTCATGAGGAATGAATTCCCACTACTCAGAAAATATATGTATTGCTGCTTATACTCTAAGAAATTTTATTCATTTACAGAATTGCTTTATCCTTATAGAAATTTGCAGAAGTCATTTCTGCCTTACAGTAATACAAATTATTTAAATCAATTCTTCCCATTACTTTAAAGAGAGTTCCTGATAAGAGAAGTCAATAGAAATTTGAATCATGTTTCCCAGTATGGTTTCAAGATTCTTTTTTAATCTTGAGTGTTTGGCAACTTAACTATGGCATGCCAGATTATTGTTTTGTTTGTGCATGTGTTGTTTTGTTTGTTTTTTATAATTACCTATTTTGAAATAGGTTACTGAGATTCGTTTTTATTTTTCTTTATTGATTAAGGTATTACATATGTGTGATTATCCCCACATTGTCCCTCTACCCCCTTGACTCTGGTGTCTGTGCCCTCACCCTCTGGTGACTGTGTCCATTGGTTAGGGCATACAAGTCCTATGATTGATCTCTCTCTCATACCCCGCTTTTCCCTATCTTCCCTCTGAGGTTTAATGGTCTGATCGATGCTTCTTTGTCTCTGGATCTGATTTTGTTCATCAGTTTATTTTGTTCATTATATTCAACAAATGGTTGAGATAATGTGATATTTATCTTTCTCTGACTGGCTTATTTCGCTTAGCATAATGCTCTCCAGATCCATCCATGCTGTTAAAGCTCTGCATTTTTATTTCACCAGTTAAATAAAATATCAGTCATTATTTGTTTATATTTTCAAGCCTATTTCCCTGACACTTCTTCTTCTGAGATGGCAATTACAGGAATGTTAGGCATTAAAATATTTCTCCATTGGTATAGGCTCTGTTCAAATATTTTCAGATTTTAATCACTTATCTACAACTTTCAATTTTCTATTGATATAGTTAAGGTTATTGTCTTCTCTGTCATCTCCATTCTGTTGTTAAACATATTCAATGTGTGTGTGTGTGTGTGTGTGTTTTATTTTAGATAGTATAATATTCAGGTATTGATTTTTCCACATTTTTATAGTTTGTTTTTCTTTGTTGGGCTTTTTCAGCTTTTCAACTACAATGATGATATTATTTTTACATCTCTTAATATAGACAGTAATGAATAGCCGATTTAAAAGACCTTATCTGCTTCTTTGAACATTGGTCTTCCTTGATACTTTCTCCTCTTGAAAAGAGATCACATTTCCTGGTTCATCGTATATCAATTTGGTTTGGACTCTATCCTGGACATTGTAAATGTTACATTGTTGAGAGACTCTTGGTTTTATTATATTCCTTCAAAAAATTTTTTTGTTTTGTTTGTTTGTTTATTTTATCAGACACTTTGATTGGACTCAAGTTGAAAACTTTCTTGGATGCAGCTCAAATCTCAGTTCAGTATATAATTTTTTCTTAGTTTATCTGAGTGTAGTCTTCTCCATGCAAGTGTGGTTTCAAGATCAAACTAAAGATTTGGACATGTTTTAATTGAATTTATTGGATGAGAATCTATAACAATAAAAGCACAATATGCTATTTAGACTGGACAGCTGAATAACCTTCCAGAAGTCCTTCTGAACGATCTTCTGGATGAAGCTGGGCTTTTAGAGCCAATGCAAGCTACCTTGGCTGCAAGGCCTAGCCCCTTGCACACATTTTGTGCATTGGGCCTCTGGTTGTTAATAAAATGTTATAGTTGCATCTGTAAAATTTTGTATCATCTATATATTGTATTGTGTATTCACCATCCAAACTCAAGTGTCCTTCCATTATCATTTATCTCCCCTTTTAATGTCTTCTTTCTCCCCTCATCGCCTTTCCCTCTGATGATTACCTTACTATTGTCTGTGTCTATGAGTTTGTTTATTTTTTCCCTTATTCTCTTCACCTTTTCCATTCAGCACCTCAAAATCTCTCTCATCTAACAGCTATCAGTCTTTTCTCTATATCTATGAACCTGTTTCTATTTTGCTTGTTTTATTTGGTTCATTTGATTCCACATATAAGTGAAATGATTTGTCTTTCTCTGACCTGCTTATTTCACTCAGCAGAATACTCTTTAGGTTCATCCATGCTAGTGCAAAGGATAAGATTTCCTTTTTATGGCCGAGTAGTAGTCTATTGAATAAATGTACCACAGTCTTTTTAAAATATATATATATATTTTATTGTGTTTTTTTTTGTTTGTTTTTTTACAGAAAGGAGGAGAGAGGTATAAAGAGTTAGAAACATAAATGAGAGAGAAATATTGATCAGCTGCCTCCTGCACACTCCCTACTGGGTATGTACCCACAACCAAGGTACATTCTTTTGACCAGAATCAAACCTGGGCCCTTGAGTCCACAGGCCGATGCTCTATCCACTGAGCCAAACCTGCTAGGGCTACAGTCCTTTTATCCAAGCATGTACTGAGGAGTATAGGGGTACATATATTCTTTTGAATCAATGATTTGGGTTTCTTCAGATAGATTCCCAGAAGTGGAATCACTGGGTCGTAAGACATTTCTATTTTGAATTTTTTTGAGGAGAGTCTATACTGTTTTTCACATTGTATTCACCAATCTACATTCCCACAGACAGAGCACAAAGGGGTTGGTTCTTTTCTCCACATCCTCTCCAACACTTATTTGTTCATTTATTGATGATAACCATTCTTATAGGTTGAGGTGATATCTCATTGTGGTTTTACTTTGCATTTCTTTGATGATTAGTGACATTGAGCATCTTTTAATTTATCTAAGGATCATTTATATGTTCTCTTGGGAGTAGTGTCTATTCAGGTCCTTTGCCCATTTTTAATTGTTTTTTTTTGTTTGTTTTTTGTTTATCGTTATTATTATTTGGTGTTAAGTCTTATAAGAACTTTATTGATTTTGGATATTAACCCATTATCAGATGTATTATTGGTGAGTATGTTCTTCCATTCAGTGAGTTGTCTTTTTATTTGTTGATGTTTTCCTTTGCTTGTCAATTTTGTTTTTAGTTTTATATAGTCCCATTTGTTTAATTTTTATTTGTTTTCCTTGCCTGAGAAGACATGTCAGGAAAAATATTGCTACTAGAAATGTCCAAGATTTTATTGCACATGTTTTCTTCAAGAATTTTTATGGTTTCCAATCTGGCATTTAAGTGTGTAATCATTTTGAGTTTATTCTTGTTTATGGTGTTAAGAAGGTGGTCTAATTTCATTTTTTACACATTTATCTGTCCAATTTTCCCAATATTATTTACTGAATAGACTCTCTTTACCCCATTGTATGTTCTTCTTTGTTGAATATTAATTGACCATAAAAGTATGAGTTTATTTCTCAACTCTCTATTCTGTTTCTTTGATCTATGTGGCTGATTTTATGCCAGTACCATGTTATTTTAATTATTTTGGCCTTGCAGTATAGTTTGATATCAGGTAACATGGTTCCTCCAACTTTTTACTTCTTTCTCAAGATTGCTGTGGCTATTCATATTTGGACTATTCTACTTCTATGCAATACTCCATTGATATTGTGGTAAAGAGACAATTTTATCAATCTTCTAAATGGCATTAAAACACAGAGTGATGTAAGGAATTTTTTTATGGATAAGAGACTGATCTTATAAGTTATATTCTTTTGAGGTGTGAATACATTGTCTTACACTGAGGGAAAGAATACTGGAAATTGCCCTTATGATATGCAAGTTACCAGGAAAAAACTCAATCCCTGACAGAGTAGGAGATTTAAATAATGATTAGAGTTCCCAGGTATGAATAAAAAGTAAACCATAACATAGATGAATTTTCACAAAAATAGTGTTTCAATTTAATAGCTGGATTTAATACTTGGAAAAGCTTAGTATACAGAATGGACACCGATGTTGATATTATGTAGAATAACTGGAATATTTGAGCCCTTTGGTGATAAAACAAGTGCTGAAAGGGTAACATAATAACAGGGAAATTTTTCATATAGTATTGACTTTGATTTAGAAATAACCTAAAATATTTTTAAACTATCACAAAGAAAAGGATTACTAGTTAACATTATCAAAGGACTTTGATAAAACCTATTGATCAAAAGGAAAATTTTGAGAAATAAGAATAGCAAATCTGAAGTGCACACTCACATTCTATTTTCAAGGAATAAGCATGCTCTCTGTAACTTTTAAGGGTACTAAAGTACACTATCAAAATCCCTAATTCATTGTATATTCAAATTATTTTGAATTTTTGTCTTCACTTATTTTCAGACATCCAATGACACCTTTGAAATTCCCCTCATGTTGACTGGAAATGTTCTGTTAAGGAAAAGGCTCAACTATGAAGATAAAACACGCTACTATGTCATCATTCAAGCTAATGTGAGTATTCAGTTCCTCTTACTATTCTATGAACTTATGAAGTAAATAAGTTGTTCAAAATGGCTAAGTTCTCTGACAGTACTCAGTATAGTTTGCACTTCCTCCTTTGGAAAATAAAGTAGCGTTGGCCTCAGTGTAATTTGTATAAATATTCTTCTACCTGGCAAATGGGATGGAATAGGGGATGAAGATTGTTTCCACTCACTGTAAACTTTACTCTCTGAACCACTTGTACCCCCTGCTCTTCAGTGATTGGTGTTTAGCTCATACTGAAGTATTTCTCAAAGCAGGAACCACCAAACAATTTAAGCCAAATCACCACGAGAGCATATTAAAAATGCAGAATTCTTGAACCAACCTCAGTTTCTCTAAATGAAAATTTCAGAAGCTAGAAATTCATATTTTTAATATATATATTTTATTGATTCTTTACAAAGAGGAAGGAGAGGGATAGAAACATAGAAACATCAATGAGAGAGAAACATTAATAAGCTGCCTCCTACACACCTCCTTACTGGGGATGTGCCCGCAACCAAGATAAATGCCCTTGACCGGAATTGAATCTGGGACCTTTCAGTCTGCAGGCCAATGCTCTATCCACTGAGCTAAACCAGTTATTGCTAGAAATGCATTTTTTATTAGTTTCCCAGGGGACTCCAAAGTACACTAAAAGTAGAAAACTACTTTTCTTTTTTTTCATATTGGTAATCTTTTTCCTCATGGCTATCATCTTATATAATAAAGAGGTAATATGCAAATTGATCATCACTCCAATACACAAGATAGTCACTCCCATGTGGTCAAATATGACTACCTCCATGTGGACACAAGATGACAGCCACAAGATGGCCTGCAGGGGAGGGCAATTGTACGTGATCAGGCCAGAAGGGGAGGATCAGTTGGGAGAGACCAGGCCTTCAAGAGAGGGCAGTTGTGGGTAATCAGGCCTGCAGGGAGGGCAGTTGTGTGTGACTAGGCCTGCCAGGGAGGACAGTTGCGGGTAACCAGGCCTGCAAAGGAGGGCAGCTGGGTGGGGGACCAAGCCTGCAGGGTAGTGCAGTTGGAGAGGACCAGACCTGAAGGGAAGGGCAGTTAGGGGCAACCAGGCCAGCAGGGGAGGGCAGTTAAGGGCAATTGGGCTTACAGGGGAGCAGTTAGGCATTGATCAAGCTGGCAAGGGAGTAGTTAGGATGTCATCAGACTGGCAGACAGAAGTGGTTATGGGTAGGCAGGTAGGCAGGAAGGCAAGTGATTGGGAGCCAGCAGTCCTGGATTGTGAGAATCATGTTAGATTTCCCCTTTAGGATTGGGCCTAAACAGGTAGTTGGACATCTCTTGAAGGGTGACAGGTTGGAAAGGGTGAAGGCTGAGATGAGGAAAACCCTCCCATGCATGTATTTTATGCACCAGACCTGTAGTTTATTGTATAGCTGTTCACTAAATATTAGCCACAATGACCATAACCATGGTATGTGGACAGTAGTAACAGAAAGCCTGAAAAATAGTTGCTTAAATAATTTAACATTTATTATTAATATTATTATTTTAATAAAAGCTGTGTCTCATGCCTCTGTGTGACTGATCAAGTATATAAGGATTTTAGTTCCTTCGATCCTAAAGTTTTCCCCTTCCCCTGAAATTTAGTTATGTTTCCAATGTCTTGTCTGCTGGGTGCTTATGAATATTATACCTATTAGCAAAACTGAGTGTAAGCAAGTGGAAAGAGTGCTAAAGATTTTTTTTTTAAGGTTGATTATGTCTCCTTTTATTTCAGAGGACACTGGGATAGTGTCCTCTCAACTTTCCCTCATAGACCATTATCACATGAGCAGGCACAGCAGAAAGGAAAGTTGAGGAAGTCTATCTGTGGTTAATGGGGTAGAGATATTTCACTCTGGATGACAACAACTATGGTTCATGTTCCGGGGCTGGGCACATTGATAACCTGGAAAATAATGTTGGCACTAAGAAGAATCCATTTTAGGAATAAAAACTAACAAGGCTGACCACAGATAGCTTTAAATATTAAAAAAAAAAAAAAGCCCCATAACAAGTATCAAGGATATTCTGAAAAGGTAGTGAGCCTTCAAAGCCATCTTGTGTCTTTAAGGACGCATTTCTGTAGATAGAAATCAAAATTTTAAAGTCAAACTTTTAAACTTTCATTGAAAATTCTTAAGGGTTGTTTTGTTTGTTTTCAATTCATTGTGGGTTGTACTGATGTCAAGTGGAAGAAACAAGAGTAAAAACTATTGACACAGGAAAAAGTAAGATCTATAAGATCTCAATACTGCTCCCATAACACTGAATTTTAAAAAAATATTAATAATTTCTAGGTAAAGGGATATATGAACAAAAGATATAATTTCCCTTTCTCACTCAAAATCTCTAATATAATTCACAAAAAATTTCAGCATGCTATGGCATGTATTTGAAAGCTAGTTTGTATTGTGCTCATTAAAATGAACTAATTTTATTTTATAAAGAAATGTAAGCTAACAAAAATCTGAATTGCTGTCTAAACTTAAATATTTATAAAGCCATCTGGAATAATTTGTATTCAATTTACTAGACTACTCATAACTAGGGAGAGAGTGATAAGTTTTTAATGTGTCAGGGATGAAATTATGAAATAGATGTATATACGTGAGTCATTGTAAGTAAGGAATGGAATGAATGAGAAGTTGGTAGATTTTTTTCAACTGAGAAAAGAAATTTTATATAATTTTAAAGCATACAGTATTAAATGTGAACAGTAGCTATAGAACATTATAACTTTGGGGTATTTAAAATTTTTTCAGAATTATATACTAATGTTAGAGAGAGGAAGAGGTAGAAACATCAATTATGAGAGAGAAGTATTGATCATCTGCCTCCTGCACACCCCTCACTGGGGATGTATCAGCCAGATGCTCAGGTATCTGCACTGACTTCTGATCCTACTGTGATTTCCAGGTTCATGGGTTGATGCTCCACCATTGAAACACAAGAGCCTCATAGAATTATATATTATTTAAAGTTGTAGAACATACTGAAATTAGTATCTATCACAATTTATTCAACTATACTTAGATTCTGTTTGTTTGCTTTTGCATTTGGGTATGGAATTAAGAGTTCCCTCATGACTATTATGAAAGGCAGTAAGTGAAGCTCAGTGTTAAAAACATTAACTCTAGAACAACGTGGTTAAAATCCCAGCTCTGCCATTTGCTAGTTGTCTGACTTCAGGGATACTTTGACTGTCAGTTTCCCAACTAAAATGAGGATATTAATGAAACATGCCACATAGGGTTCTTGTCAGAATTATTATGTTAGCAAACAAAAATGAACTTAGATTAATGCTTAGAATATATTCTGAGATCATTACAGTATAACATAACCACTATAGTTCTTCTAATTTACTGTTTAAAATGGGTAAAAATAGAGTAACTATGAATATTTATATGAATATATATATATATATTTTAATTTTAATGTGAGTAGGTAATATATTGTTTTCCAATGTTTCAATTTATCACAGTCCCACAAATTATAAAAAAGACTGTCCATTGTCTCTACTTTTTTGCTATATAATTTACTGAAGACAGTAGGTTATTAGAGCTGAAAAGCTGGCTCATACTTGCTTGAGGCTCAATTGTTGGTACATCTTCCTAACTCTGAGTTCACTGACCTCACATTTGTGGTCATAGTGGAAGAATTTACAGTATTGTAAGTGGCAGATACTATAAATCAGTGTTTCTTATCTCAGAGAGCTGGTTGTTAAACATATGCTAGTTTATCTATATAGTATAATTTCTATATAGTATAACCAGTATCTATATAGTTTAATTTTTGTGTTTGTATGGATAATGATATGATATATGGAATATTATCTTTCTTATCAGTTCTAATAAATGGGTAATATGCTAATTAAACCAGACATCCTTCCAGACAAAGCCATAGTGGCAGGGCTGGGACAGAGGTGGTTAGGGGTGATCAGGTCAGCAGGGAAAGGCAGTTAGGGATGATCAGGCTGCCAAGGCAGGGCAGTTAGGGGTGATCAGGCAGGCAGGCAGACTAGCAGTTAGGAGCCAGTGGTCCCGGATTGTGAGGGGGATCCAGGATTGGAGAGAGTGCTGGCCAGGCTGAGGGACACCTCCCCTTCTTGTTCATGAATTTTATGCACCAAGCCTCTAGTTCTTTTATATTTTTATTACTTTATTGGTAGTATGTAAATCAATCTATAAACTAAATGATGTACATTAAAAACCTCTGCAAGTTGCCCCGTTGGTGTGGCTCAGTGGTTGAGAGTTGACCCATGAGACAAGAGATCACAGTTTGGGTTCTGAGTCGGGGTACATGTCCAGCTTCTAGGCTCCTTTGCCAGTGTGGGGTGTGCAAGAGGCAGCCAATCTAAGTGTCTCACTTATCAATGTTTCTATCTACCCCTCTCTCTTTCTCTCTTTCTAAAATCAATATGATTTTTTTCTTAAATATATTTTTATTGATTTCAGAAAAGAAAGGCTATGGAGAGAGAGACAGAAACATCACGTGATGAGAAAGAATCATTGATCAGCTGCCTCCTGCAAACCCCACACAAGGAGATCAAGCCTGTAGCCAGACATTTGCCTGACTGGTAATTGAACCACTACCTCCCGGTTCATAGGTCAATGCTCAACCACTGAGCCAAGCTGGCTGAGCAAGAACATATTTTTAAAATAAAAATAAATAAAACCTCTGCAAGTTATAAGGAAAGTTGAAATCTGAACTATATATTTTGACTTTAAAGTAGATGGTTTCTACGAGGCTAAAGGTCTGATGAGAAATACTGAACATTATTCAGCGTTGGCCTGGCTCTGTTTATGGTACATATATTTGATTGGTTTGCAAAGAGAACCATTCAAATTTTGTGGGAAGTTCTTTTTATCCATGTGAACATGTTATATTTTTGAATATGTTAGAAGAGTTTTGGTTGGCCCACATTAAAAAAAAATGTCACTTGTTTTCTTGATAGTTTTTAT